AGTGTCTGGTATAAGAAACAGTGGAAATTATAAACACAAAAAAATAAAAAAAGCCAAAGTTGCTGGAGAAACTTATAAAAACTACAAAGGAAATGATGTGGCACCAAGTCAAACGGGTGCTTCTTGTAGGTTGTTCTTTAGAGTATGACTATATTCGTTCTCAAATTTATGCTTATTTACTCATGTTTTACCACCAATAATTGGAGGTAAAACATCTTGATATATAATTATTACAAAATTACCTCAATAATTCTATTTATTTACAGGTGCAATTCAAAGTGTATGGAGCTTGTATCTGAAGATTTTATAGAAAGTACAATTCAGTTTGTTAACAAATTTGACTGTAAAAATGCTCAAGACACATACTTGCAGTCATTGATTGAAAAGAGGGAAGATGGTTTAGAACTAAAGAACCTAAGAAAAAAGAATTTTCTTTTATTTATCACGTTTAGATTGAAGGTGTGATAAGAAAAGTACGCAAGAAATCTTTTTGCTGTATGCATGGAATTTCTATGAAACAAGTTAGACATTTATGCATTTTATTAAAAAAAAGCAGCCTATAGATTACAGAGGTAAATCTCTGTGATCACGATGCAACGCATTACCTGGAGATACATTAACAAAAGTACGTGAGCGAAGTATGTACCTTTGTGCTGAATTATATTTTTAAAAATATTGGCAACAAAGCCAAAGAACTGCACCTATTTTCTGATGGTTGTGCAGGCCAAAACAGAAATCATGCCACGGTCCAAATACTTTTATCACTGGTGGCTGAACTAGATAGCAATATAAATGAGATACAATATTACATACCAAAAAGAGGTCACTCATTCTTGCCAAACGATAGAATGTTTGGAACAGCAAAACGACATTCAAAAAAATGATCGGATTTACACACCAACGATGTAAAAAAAATGGTGGCTAAACCATTATAAGAAACTTGTGCTATCTGTGGATTTCTATAAAAAAGGAGTAACCAAGGACAAAAAACTTACTTTTGGTATTTCAAAAATTTCACACTTCACATTCTCTAATACCACAGCAGGTTTAGTGAAAACATGTGAATTCATAGCTTGCTTAGTCAGTTATAATTTCCAGCTATTACAAAGGATGGGTACCCGGTCAACCTTACCATTAAGTAGTACTCCTGCATATGTTGGAAAATTACCTATCAATGAAAAAAATATGAAAAAATATATTCCATATTCAATAGAAGAGTACTAAAACTTCTATACAAAAGTTTTTGCTTCGCCAACAACTTTGGCAAACAATGAATTCCGAGAAATAATTGATGATTACCTAACAAAAAATATTTTTGTATAATAACAAATCATTATTATTCTGATAATCTTTGGTTTTTTATATACAAAAAAGCGTTCATTCCGAAAAAGACATAAGTCCATAAATTTAAATTAGAAATATATGTGTTATATATTATTTTTTTATAACAAATAAAACTCTAAAAACTAATGTATAACTTTTATATATCTACTGTTATCTTTAGTTTCTTTAGCACCATAGACTTTTTTTCTAATAAAGTTATTTTTGTTAATCCTGAAAAGTTTGAATAAATGGACTTGTGCCCTTTTCGAAATGACGGGTTCAATTTATATTATTTACACCTGGTAAATTACTATATTTTGCTAAGATTTTATTCCAAATATGCGGAGCACGATATGTAATTTTAAATTGTTCTTGTTTGGTTTTGCATAATGGTTCAATTAAGCCTGTTGTGCGTAAAGTATATTTAATGTTAGGTTTTATTTCATAAAGATCATTAAAAATTGAGGGGCATTGTTGAAATTTACTTTTGTAGATGAGACATAAAATTTTATAAACATTTATCTCGTATAACGTAAAAGTATATATAATTTCAAACAGTGGTTTTTGCATGTTCGTTTTTATTTTTAAAATTTATATTTATTAAAGCATGTTTTTGTTTTCGATAGAGTGTTTCAAGCTTGCTTTTAGATGTACTCCACCACGCAATATTCGCGTAATTCAAGTAACTTTGTATAAAACTGAAATAGAATTGTATTAGATGATGTTTATTAAGTAAATCCCGTGACTGATATAGAACGCCAATACTTTTTGATATTTTGCTGCCAATATAGGCAATATGTTTATTTCAGGTAATATTTTCGTCAATGAGAGCACCAAGAAATTTTATGACTCTTTCGCGACTAATTTCTGTATTTTCAATAACTAGTTTTGGAAAAGAAATAGGATTTTTTTTTTTTCTATAGGGTGGAATAATGAGAACTTTATTTTATTTTAATTAATAGAGAGTTTAATTGCATTGAACCATAGTGAAATTTTATCTAACTTGTTGTTCATTTGTACGAAGAGTTGACGTATATCTTTTTCAGAGATAAAAAAGTTACTGTCGTCAGCAAACATTATTGTTGATATATTTGACGCTATCCAGAGATCATTCATGTATATAAGGAAAGGTAGAGGCCCAAGAATAGATCCTTGGGGCACTCCACAAGAAATTAAAGATGAATTTGTAAGTTTTTTATTTCCATAATATATGGACTGTGTACGTTTACTCAGGTAATCTGCTATCCACCTGCAGGATACGCCTCTTATGCCGTACATCATAAGCTTTTTTATCATTATTTTATGATCCACTGTATCAAAGACCTTGGAAAGGTCAATAAACACACCTAAAGTAAATTCTCCGTTTGCAAAAGAGTTTTTAATTTCATTAATTAAGTGAAGTATTACATGTTCAGTTGAAGTGCTTTTCTGGAATCCGAACTGTTTTGATTAGAATAAGTCATTATCTTTAAAAAAAGCATATAACATATTGAACATAATTCGCTCAAAAATCTTAGAAAAAAATGGAAATTATAGATATTGGTCTATAGTTTCCAATATCCATTTTATCGCCTGATTTGAATATAGGTTTAACTTTTGCTGATTTAAGTATATTAGGAAAGATACCCTCTTTTAGAGAGCGTTTACAAATTTTAAATAAAAGCACTTTTAACTCATTATAACAGTCAATAACAATGTTGCTGTTTATACCATTAATTCCAGAAGATTTATTACGTTTCAAGCTTTTAAAAGCTGTTTCGTATTCTTTAAAGGTTAAATTCTCATTTTTAAATTGAATTTTTGAAATTCTCATTTTTTAATTAATTTCTCAGGGGGATTTTATCTGGGCGGATTTTTTCTCGGGCGGATTTTTTCTCTGCAGATTATTTCGGGGGGATTTTTTCCCAGGGTATTTTTTCTCTGGGGATTTTTTCCTAGAACCCAATGTTTTCAGGTTTTGAAAAATACTTTTGAAAATGTAAATAATGGGTTTAAATACATTATTACTAGGATTTTAGCCAGAGAAGTCAAAAAAATGAATTAAGAAAGAGATTAAAACTAACTCTTATGGATGATTCATATCAAAAAAAAAAAAATTTCGATTGTATGGATTAAGTTTAGCCTAATTAAATTTTTTAAATAATTGATTTATTTAGATCACCAGATAAGCAAGAGAGTTTAATAAATGAATCAGAAAAGGAAGTTGATGATTCGAGTTCCTGAACCAAAAGACGAGAATAATAGCAAATATATCATTTGATTCAAAAACGGAGTCCGTCAAAAAAACATTTATAATGGCACGAAGAGTAGCATTTAATATACGTGAATTTAATTTGGTCAAATTACTTTGTGTCGTTACAAAGAAAGCGATACGAATCGTTATTGCTTTACACTCAGCTAACCACATTACAAAAGAAAACGACGTCTGAAGATGCTTTTGCATAGTTCTTGGATAATAAACTTTCAAGAAGTGTTTATGAAAATACCCAAAAAGAAGTACCATGCAAAATTCAATCTTATTGAGTAATTTGCAAAAGAAAAAACAAGTGCTAACCTTTAAAAACATCCATTGATGTTAATGAAACAAAGGTCAAAGATTGATAAATACTGCAATGGTAGTTGTTAGAGACATATGATTGGTTCAAGGTTCCAGCTTCCGTTCACAAAGTATCAACACAAGCTGGGGAAATTATTATTAATTTACCAGTTCCACTTGATTTAATGGGAGAGAAAGTAGTTAAAACTTGACACAGTATTTATAAATTTGATTGTGAACATCGATCACGGAGAAAAAAGTAGAGAAACAAACTTATTTGACATATTCATTCGAGGTATACACACTTCTGATCCCCTAATTAGGTCAATCTCATTAAATAAAATATTTAAAGTAAGAAAATATTGTGCATACTAGATAAAGTTAAGATTTGTCAGCTGTTTATTGAGCTGACAAATCTTAACTTTATCTAGTTAAAATTTTTTAGATTTTGTAATCCCGTACTTCAATCACCTTAATTTTTTTTTTAAAACATTATAATTTGAATTAAGCATGAACATAACAAGTTTGGAGCATTGGAAAATCATCCATTATTTAAACAATGTCCATAAGTATCACATATAAAAAATCCAATTAGTTCCCCAGTGCTCAAGTTAATTTGCCCACCACCCTTGCTGCCCCTATAAGTTTGGTAAACACAAAAAGAAAAAATATTAAATTAAGTCTCTATTTTAATCAATTAAGGCTTAATATCCACATAAATACAACGATTATATTTTTGGCCACCTATTTCAATGGAATGGGAACATTCCATTGAAATATTTTTTTTTTTTTAAACAAAGTTATAAACTCATCTGCAGAACATGTTTGCTTAAATTAAATTTGCTTAAAGGGATCCCAAAGTGCCGAGACAAGTTGTGTTTATTTTAAAGCGAATGATAAAAAAAATGTTTGGGCAGTATTTTTTTAAGTAAAACAAAATAATAAATGTATATTAACAAAAACAAACTTTGTTTTTGTTAAACTCAAATTCTTGCTTCTAGAGCAATCCCATCTTAAAATCAATCCGATTTCAAAATCATTTTTTTTAGTCTAGGGTGTTCTTTATTCAATTTAAAGAAAAAACTTTAGTCAGGGTGTTTTTATTCATGTTAAAGAAAAAAACTAAACTTTTTTTTATATAATTAATTCTTAGAAGAGGTGGGGTTTTACATTTCCTTCTCTTTATAGACTAAAGTATTGAGTTCAAAGGACGAAACTTCGCCGACTGCGGCACATAGACTTACTGGATATGGAAGTAAAACAAATAACGGCGTTGACGGAAATGTTGGTCTAAGTTGTGCGATCACGGTGAATCGGGAGGATAGCGCAGGATCGACATGCCGGCACGGTGGAACATTGAACTTTTGTTTGTGTCGCTATGTGAATATGAAAAGAGAGACTGCTTTACTTGTGGCTTTATAATTATGTACAACTATTTATTTCACAGTTATTCTTATATGTGCGTCTATTCATTTTTATGCATGTTTATTCATTTATATTATTTATTTTTTTATTTATTCTTTCATCGCCCAAAATTACAGGTAAAAAATACAGTAGTCATAAAACTAATAGTTTATACTCTAAGTTAAAATTCTAATTTAGATTCTTCTTGGAATGCTTTCTTCCATTAAATTTTTGAATATCATTCTCTACTCTCTGATGTTCCAGAATTCAAAGGACTGGTTTAAAATTTCTGCTAAATTATCTTCTACGTCATCGTTACGACGTTTGATAATGATTTTTCCCTCCTTAATAAAACACTGCATGAAGCTTAGTTCCAGGCGGTTGCAAATTTTCATTATTTCTTTAATAAAGCAGTTTTTTTTTTGTATGTATTTAAGCGCTCACAGAAGTCCTTACGGTCTTATCATAGAGCGCCGCGGTTTTCCTTATTAACATTAGATATTTGATTTAAAATCAAGGTAAGACAAGTCGGATTGCTCAATAATCTGACAAACAGATTCAATTTGTTTTGAACAAAGATGGTAGATACGTCATCGATTTTAAAACAGATAGCTTTTGCTGTGTTTTGAAATACTAAAGAGAAATTTTAATGCTGATCTTCCAACAGCGTCTAATTTATTTAAGTATTGCTATAATCACAAATTTCTAATCCATATGATAGATTTGGTATAGCCTGAGATTTGAACAAATGCACTATAGTCACTGGTTGACAAAAACGAATTCCAGATTTTATAAGAACTCTGGAGATTGATTGAAATTGAATTATTCTTTCGTTTATATTTGCTTATTGGATTGTAGCTATATTTTGTCCATGGCCTTGGTTTTCCATAAGAATCCGAGGTGTTTCAGTTTATTATTGAGTTTCAAGAAAAACCGTTAATTTGTATTATGTTTTTTGTGACTAAACTTTTACCGGAGATAATGAACTCGGTTTTTTCTGTATTTAATTTGATATAGAGGTTTTGACATTGCGTGTAATACTAATACCGCATTAGTTATCTGAATTATAAAGAGATTTTTTATAGGATTTTACTATTGGAATAATTATGGAATTTGATAAGTATTCAGGCACAACTCCATTATTAAAGATACTGTTATAAAACTTTGAAAGCCATGTAACGAGATTGTTATTAGAGGAGCATTTAAGATGTTCTGCAGTAATTCCACAAGAGTCACGTGATCTGTTAGACTTTACCTTACGAATAAAAGATTCAATGTCAGAAGTTGACAAGAGTATTTTATTAGGTTCAAATATAAGTTGGGGAATATTGCGGTGTTCGGAATTGTTGTTAGTAATTGTGGGAGTGTTGAGAATTGTATTAAATTTTTGTCTAAATTTTTCTACAATTTCCTTTCCATCTTGTTTCTTATTTATCGTAAAAATACGAGTGTTCGGACTAGATTTGATTTTTCGGATATTGTTCCACAACTTTTGAGGATTACTTTTTCAAAGGTATTCATTGTGTTTGGTAATTTTATTGATTTCTAGGTTATGAGCTGTTTTTACTGTTTTACGAAAATTTTTACAAGCTAGTATGTATTTATTAAATGAAATGGATTCCTGCGATTTGTTATAGTTACATTTTTATCATTCTTTAAAGTGGAAAGAGAGAATGTCTTTGCACAATTTAACTTCCGGTGTCTACCATGATTTAGAATAAATGCAAAATTCTTTTTTTTGAAAACATTTTTTCATAGCTAAAATGGCAGCATTATTTATTTTTTCGCATGTTGTTTGAGTTTGTTTTTCTATTGCTTCTCCAATAAAAGCAAAATCTTTGAAGAAGTGAGAGAGGTTCCGATTATAAATTTCAATAAAGTTGTATTGTATTTTTTAAGTATATTATTTATAACTGGAGTTAAACTGTTATTTTTAAGATGAATATGTGTAGCAATGGGTGAAGGAGGAATAATTTTACAGTTTGTAAAGCATATTGATGATTCTTTTAAGACTGCTATGTGATCAATGTAAGATGAATTATTTAGCGTTTTATGCTTATAGGTATAAGTAGGACCAGAACCACTAATTATTTCCAAAAAAGAAAGCTTGTTTGTTTCAAGAAAATTTGATAAATGCCTAAAAAATTTGTTTTGTGTTTGGTTATTCCGAACTTCCGTGTCATATATATTTTCAGGAAATGACTGAAAATCGCCGGCAATTATAAACTCTCCTTTATCCTCGTTTGTGTTAATGATGGAAGCAATTACACTAAGTTGAGACAGATATTTTTCTAATGATTCAGAAGTATTTCTGCATGAAGTAAGATAAACTCCAATAAAAATAAAAACACTGTTGCCATATGCACCTTTTATTGCAAGAATGTGTTCATCTTCGTGTATTTCGTGAAGAGAAAGCAGTAAGTTTTTCCCCCAAAGGTCTTTCATATTTTTTCTTTTCAGCAGAAAGAAAAAATAACTGATGTGTTGGAGCTGATAGGTTATATAAAACAAACTGTTCGACATTTGAGAGCCAGTGCTCAGATAGAAAAATTATATCAAATGAGTTAATTAAGGTAGAAATATAGCATAAGTTTGATTTAAGACTCTGACAGTTATGCGCACAGAGACTAAACTACAACTACTTGAATTTATTGCGCGTTCATCCGTTGTGATTTCTGATTTAGAGACATGGCACGAGCTGCGTAAAGTTGATGTTCCACATTCGATTGATTTACGATGTTAGATTGGTTCATTTCAGTTCCTAGATTTTCACGAGGATTTCGAAACTGTTTAACAATAATATTGTGGTCCCAAACTTCCGGTTTTAGGACTATGTGTTTTTTATTACTTTTTATGGTTAATTTGAAAGAGTGGTTATATTTATTTTCCCGGTTGAGTGTGACACCAATCGGCTCAACGCCTATTTCTTTCTTTATGTAGTTAAACAAAAGAGCTTCTAATATGGAATTACAAACTCCTCCAACAAATATAATGAATTTTCAGACAATACGGCATCCTGCAATAGACTTTCTGTTTTTAGCAATTTTATTCCCAAAGATTGGTTCTTTCTTTGATGTAGATACGCCCGGTTTCAAATAATAATTTTTTCTTTCTTCCAAACAATCTCGATCAATACTTTTATGTTCAATTTTTTTGGGGGACTGTTGTACTAATGTGGATGTTGATATTATGGTATGACAGTCTTATCAAAAATAGGAGATAACTGTTCAGTCCGCACCCTAGAAAACCGCAACATTCCTGTGAAAGCTTATGACCATGGGATTCCAAAAATGTAAAAATTAAAATCATCTGCCTACGTTCGTAAAAGAAAATCAATTTTGAAATTTTCTTTTATTACACATATATGTAAAACGACAGCATTTCTATTTTTTGCATTTTTACAGCATTCTCTAAACAAAAATAGATACAATAAATAAAAAAACATTATTCTAAAGGAATAAAAAGCTACAAAAAGGTTTCCGCTGCGCATTATGCACATGGATGAGAGGATGAATGAGCCTGCAGACCGCACAGGATGTTAGCTAATTTCATGTCACAAGAGATAACAAAATTGACCTCTTGAATGTCGAGAAGGGAAAGAATGACTTTCACATTGTTGTAATTTTCTTGAACTCCTTCAGCCACAGCCACAAGAACTTGTTTTTTCACTTCTTTTTCCTTTGATGCTTGTGATGTAAGCAAGCGTTTGCTTAGAGGTGAAGCTTTAGTTTGCATCTCTAGGTCCAATTCACAAACTCCGAGACAGACTTTTAAGAATCCTCCACCGCCGTCGATCCCCAATTTAATGACGTGGTTTGAAAAAATCTTCCGTGTCAAAAGTAAATCTTCAATAAGACTATTGAGACTCTTGCAATGTGCAACAATGTAATTTGAAGTTGTTTTGTCCGCGTTTGTAAATGCCGCTGTGGTCTGAGTAATATTCATTTATTCGACAATTTTATAAATTCGTAGTGTGTACTGAGTAGATTTGAATTATAACCTGAGTTTGAATTTAATTTCAATTACAAAAAATATAAAAATAATATTTTACCAACAACAAGTTGACACAGAGCAGAGTCTCTAAACGGAAGCTTTTTAAGAGAACCTTTACCATCCATACTCAAATGAGACATGACAAAATTTGTAAAAAGTCTTTTCAATAGATTCTTAGAAGTATCTTTAATGGATGACCCTCCGATTCGTGAAAGAAGGCGAAGCTACAAAGAAATTATTTATAAATGCTACTTTTCATTACACATGGGATTCTAATTAATACAAAAGCAAAAGTCTTGCCACCTCAATGAAAGCAAAACATATTTTCTGACATCAAAACAAACATTATATAGACGTTAAAAACCTTTCTGGGAAAGAGGATAAAAACAATTAGCTATACACTTACTAAAATTGTTCGATTAGCAAGAACTCCACATTGCTCCTCTAATTTTCTGTATCCATTCAAGGTCCCAATAGCTCCAGCTATAACTTCTAGATGGACCTCAGCAACAGTCTCTAAACTTGGTACGGCTATCATTTCCACTGCTATTCGTAAATCTTTAATTTCGTTAGCCATATTTGATAACTGATAAAGAACTCTGAAACTCTGTAAAATATATAACATTTATATAAAAACCTTATTAAAAAAACTACACAAATTTCGTTATAACTGTTCACAGTGATAGGTTGATAATAGATAGCACAATTACAAAGCAACTGCCTTATCAACAGTAAAAAAAAAAACAGTCGAATTAAAAAATATATTATTAAATAATATATAAATAAGGTTTGATAACTTACTCCCATTATCGATTTCATTTTCTTGAGGAGCAGTTGGCTCACTCAGTATCATGTTTGCTTGAAACTTTCTATTTAATGCTGATAGTTTCACTGCAATATAAATAATTATACAATTACATTGGGCGTTGTAAATCAAAACTTATTTAGAAACGTCATTAAATTTTTGCAGTATATATGTAAATCAGACCCCATATACTATACAACATTATACTATAAATAAACAATAACTAATATCATTATTACAGTTAATTCTAGATATCTCTAATATTTACCAAATCCCTTGGATATTACACTTAAGTTAAAAATTAAGTATTACTTGATCGATCTATTACATTGTCTTTTGATGTGGCAGCTCTCTGTCTGAATATTGGTATTTTAGAATCAAATTTTCGGGGTAACAGAAAAGGAGAAAGTGCTGATTGGTTAGCTATAATGTAAATAACTATATAGTTACATTATTTATGCAAAGTTGTTTTCAATGAAAATTTACTAAATTTTCCTAAATTTGATTTAAAAAAGTTTATCCTTAAAAGGATAAAGGATTAAATATGTTCATAAGTCGTAAAAGTTAGTAGGTCTAAATCTGAAGATTATTTAAAAGTGAAGGTGGTCTATATCAAAGATATAAATTTAGACATCTTACTTGATTGATCCATTTTCTTTTCTTTTGGTATAGTCACCATGCTTGATTTGAATGAAGGTATCTTAGAATAACAGCTTGAAAGACCAGGTGACTGTGGAATTGGTGATAGTTTAGCTACAATGTAAATCTCAGGGTATACTTTTGAGATATAACCATTACAATTATTATTAGTATTCAAAGATATAAAGTACAACAACTTACTTGCATGATCACTTTTATATCCTTGTGGTACCACATCCACAACCTTTTTATATAGTGAAATATTTGAGGGTAACATTTTGCCTAATTTAGCAGGTGGCTGTGGAAATGTAGATAGTTTTAAAAATATTTTAAAACTATTTTAAAAATAAAATACAATTACAGCAAGTGTAAAAAATTATTTTTAATAACTGTTTTATTACAAAATACATACACATAACACTATTATTACTATTATTATGTAGGCTATTATTAGTTCCTGCTCTACTCTTCATAAAATTACTGATTAATGAACTTGTTTCTTCACGCAGCAGCCTTGTTCGTCAAGGTTTGTGTTTCAGAGTTATGAAGTTGAGAGAGGGTTGAAACTACAAGTAGCCTCTTCGATTGTAGTGGTCATCTCAGTCTTTAGGGAGGTGAATTAACATAAAAAATATATATTCTTATTTTCTGTATTAATATCAACATCAACTTCTTCCTCGCCTGAAAAAAACAAAGTGTTTTACTAGAGCTGTATTAAAGTAGTGGTATTATATGCGAATAAATAACTTCAATTTTGATTAAAATAATGCAAAATTATAGATTGATAATAAGTTTTAAATATTATATTTTATATATTATTTGTCAGTTTTTGTATATTTCACATATGTTATTATTTTCAGTTTATATATTCTATTTACTATTTATATGAGTATTAACAAATTAAAATAAAATCTTCAAAAAAAGTTGTACAAGCAGTACGCTTGCGCTTTTTTGAAACTTGCTGATTATCTTCTTCAGTTTCTGTAGTTAAATCATAATTATTACAATCCTCGTAGCAATCTGTAAAAGAAATAAGAAAACATTTAATTTATCCAAAGAAGTTATTGACAAATAAATTCTTTTAACAAGTAATGACTAAATTCTTTAACATTTTGCGAATGTAAATTATGAAGCTGTTGTCAAAAAATAAACACAAAACCTGAAGTAATTTTTATTTTTATTAGTTTAAAAAGTCGCCAATTTTCATTAGGTTCTACTCCTTTCATTAATTTAAACGCATTCATTTTGGATGGGGGCCACATAACTACTTTTCCCCGCACCCATGCGGATGGTAAGACTCCTTCTTCCTCACGATTTTCTTCCAACCAAACAGCCCGGTGATATGACATTTTACTAAAATGTTAATACTCTTTTTATTGTAGGTACATCAACACATAACATAAACTTGTAACTAAACTTGTTTAGAAGTGTTTAATATAAGTTTAGTCGTTTACAAATACATAAATATTATTTTACTAATACATATAACTAATAGTTTAATTATTGCTATTATCACTTGTTTCAGCTAAACAAGACACCAATAGAAGTTATTATCAGAGGAGATGGTTATGAAAATTTCTATATTAATTACTCTTTAAAATTTTAAGATTAATATCTAAAATTATTTAGATTTACATTAAAAGTAAACAAAATCGAAACAAAAATAAAAAAAAAATTAAAAAGTTAAAACATAGGAAAATAAAATCACAACTTAATATACCTAAAATAAATTTACAATAACTTACACCAAATGAAAATATTAATAAAAAAAGAAGCTATAATAACTCTTTGATTAACTACGAAGGCTAAAAAATATATAGCTTTTTTCACTCATAGTGCTAACCTAGTATACTATGAAATATCTTCCTTAAATTAAAAATCACATTAGGCATATTAGCATATTTAAACATATTAAACATATAGACATAAAAATATAGAGATAAATATAAAAAGATGTTTTTGAATATGTATTTATTAACTTTAATTTAACTCAAGACTAAAATTATTTCAATTGTTCGATGGATAATTTTCTGTTGCCTTTGATTAAGTTAACCATAATAGTATTATTAGTAAAATAATTTAGCACTCTTTTGAATGAAGAAGAGGCATTAACACAAAGCCACCATTACAGGGAAACTTCATAGCCTTTTTCTCGATTTCTGCAAATTTCACATTCTTCGATTTAGAATGCTTATAAGTATTGTTCACAAAATAAATGTCTAAAAAGTCAGATGAGCATGGCTCAATAAAAAATGGATGCAAATTAGCAAAACTGAACACATAACACATATATGAATCTTTTAAAACCTCATATACCTCCACAAATTGTCCATTTTTTAGTTGTGCAAATGAATCTCTATATGTTGTTGACAATTTAAAGACCGGTGTTGTTGCATTTGTAATTTCAGAGTATTTATGGGCATTTTCATATTCTTGAATTCTTTTTGCTACTTGTACAGCAGGATTTGAAGAGCCTCTTACATATCTTTTTAATGTTTGCAGGTAATTTTCAAAAGGAAAAGCACTGATCTCATCAAGTGGTAAACCAAAAAACTCTACATCATCTCCTATATGCAGCAAATGATGAATATTGTATACAACAAAATCATTACCATATAATTTTTGAGAATTCTCAACAAAATGTCTAAGCAAATCTTTTGCATAGTTCAACATGTTACTTCTTTTGTCATTTGATGGTGTGAGTAGAATTGATGCACCAACAGAAAGTGTTAAAAAATGTTTGTAAAGCTCAGAATTCAAAATTCCTATTAAGACAATAGGTCCTGTGTATAATAAGAATTGCCGGAATTCAGTGGCCTTCCATCTATCAAGGTCCAACAAAGATCTAGGGCGTCTAACAAACTCACTTGGTATGCATTTTCGTAAATCCAAAAGGTTTTCAGAAACTTGCAATATGTTGTTGTTGCTTAATATCATTTTTCTATTACCTTTTTTCAATGTTTGAAGTATACGACATACAACACCTAAGCATATCAAATGCATATAGTCAAGTGGAAAAATGCTGATACATTGGTCTGTTATTTCATTGAAAGGCGAAGCTCCGTGTTGATGACTTCTAAGGAATTGCACCCTCTATTTTAAACTATATTATTTATAAGGAATTCATAATTCTAATATATATATATATATATATATATATATATATATATATATATATATATATATATATATATATATATATATATATATATATATATATATCTGTGTGTGTAGTTATATCAGGATGTATATGCATGTATGTGTGTATGTGTGTAAATCACAGTGTAATTTACACTTTATTACATTTCTTTTACTTAAAAATTGAAAGACTTATAATGATTTGTTTTAACTTTTAACAAGTCACTTCTATTTTAAAAGTCTTTTTCTTTTTAAAAAAAAAGGACGAATGTAAAATAAAATAAATACAATAAAAAAATATAAATATAGATTGAATCAAAATCAAAAAAGATTACAAAATCCTAATTCTAAAAAAAATGCATTTATAGCCCTTATTCTCTCAAGTAGTTGAGATTCACACTTAATATTTATTTGCACTACATTGACAATGTCTCAAGTACTTGAGAGAATAAGGGCTATAAATGCATTTTTTTTAGAATTAGGATTTTGTAATCTTTTTTGATTTTGATTTAATCTATATTTATATTTTTATATTCATGTAGCCTACAAGTCAAGTACCTATTATGTGAATAACATTCTATAAGAATTATAATAAGAAACTTATTATTTATCTGTATTTTACCTCTTTTGCAATCTTTTAACTACTTCTTGGTTTGATACAAACTATTTCAAATCTTGTAAAACCACTTTTTTCTGTAATACAAACTGCTTAAATTTAATTAAATAATCGCAGTGGATAGCCTACCGAAAGTCGGTAGCGGAAAATTAAAAATTATCCTACCGATAGTTTTTTTTAATTAGTTTAGAAATATCACGTGCGACAATAAAATTGCTATATAAATATATTTTTAAATCCATTACGTGCAATGTTCATTAGTGTATCGGATATAAGCTTGACACTGTACAAAGGTGTTCTGGGTTCGAATCCTTGCTAAGGAATATTTTTTGCATTTCGATTGTTTTTTTCCATATTTTTTAGGTTTTATTACGCTTATTAATTAAATAAATTATTTAGGGATATACGCTCAATGCATTAATAGACGCAATGTAGCGTTTATACACTGACTGATTTAGGGATAGGCACCGAGAAATGTACATGCATTTACTAATTTAGGGATAGGCGCAGTGAAGTGTACATACATTTACTAGCTTAGGGATAGACGCAGTGAAGGGCACATACGTTTACTATAGTAATATAATATACTAATATAGGGATAGGCGCTGCGTAGTGTACATGCATAGACTGAAGGCTTTGGTATGGGGTGGCAGTCATTTCTATTTATTTAATGGAAAATCCTATTTAATTTTTTTACATTTTTGTTTTTTAAAAATAATATCTTAAATTTTCTTCATTTTACGGTATAACAAATAATGTTTATTTTGACATGTGATATTGTCAACCAATAAAAAAAACTTTCGGTAGGATAATTTTTATTTTTCCGCTACCGACTTTCGGTAGGCTATCCACGGCCTTAAATAATGCCAATCTTAATAACTTTCATAACTAAACCTTTTTTCAAATTTTTGTGATATTTATGCGAATTATTATAGACTAATAGTCTATTTTAATAACAGTCTAAGTATAGTTTTTTATGCCATTAGAAAATCAGACTAAATAACGATTTTAAATATGGTAACAAGCATGTTTTAATATACAAACAAGCATGTCTAAAGGTCATTATCAAAAAGTTAATCCTCCTAAAACATCCGTTAACTCAATTTTTGTTTACTCAAATTTCTTTTAAGTTTTCTAAACTACTATCTACATAATTTAATATTCATATGAAATTCAAATTTTTAAACAATAATGAAAGATCCAAAATGTCCGTTTCATTCTGTGCAAAATCCCTTCTGGGCTAATCGAAGTAACGGAAACCGGCATGATTTAGCGCTTAAACGCTAACTAAATATTCAGAACTCATTTAGAATTGATTCCTAATCGTTTAGAACGACGTAAATGTCATCTAAACGCAAATTAAATATTCAGAACACGTTTAGAATAGATTCCTAAACGTTTAGATCGACGTAAATGCCATCTAAACGTGATCTAAACCAATTTTAAACCAACAAATGCCCGTTGGGTACAGTGTTTAATTTAATTCCATTTTACAACCACATGCTTAGTTACATAAATCCAGCGCTGGCTTGGCAATCATTTTTTAAATAAATATCAGTGGTAACTTAATTTATATTTAAAGTATATCTATATAAAAACATACAAACCTATTTATATAAAATTAGATTATAGATTTTATGGCTAGTTGACTCGCATATTAGCGCGCATATAAGAATGAATAAGCATATAAGAATGAATAAACACGCATATAAGAATAAATAGACGCGAATATAAAAATTAATAACCCTGTAAATAGACGATATTTGATAACTTTTTCAAAAACGTTTTGCTACGCATTGTGGGATCGCCTGGGGGATAACAAAGTAAAAAAGTCATACCATTAAACTAAAAATCTGGTCTTCAAATTACCAGAGATTATTGTAAATTTATGTAAAATAACGAGATTTCTTAACATCCGGTTTTAATAATAGTATATAATAATAAATAGTAGCAATATTTTTATTTTAACTAAAAAACATAAAATCAATCATTAATGATGTTTGATTTTAAGTTGTTGTTTTTTTAATCTTGATTTTTTTTTTATCTTGATTTAAAGACTTTCCCAACTAGCACACATACATTGATAAAACGTTAGATCATATACTGCGTAATATTTAACATTGATTTAACATTGTATTTTACATTTGCACAAAGTTATATATTTTATGTTGGCAAAACATTGTATATTAAGTTCATTCAATGTTATATTTTACGTTTGCTCAACGTCATATTTAACTTTTATCGGAAAAATTTATTTGTTGTACATTTAAGTGTGTATATATATATATATATATATATATATATATATATATATATATATATATATATATATATATATATATATATATATATATATATTTAATTTGATTATTTTAGGTGCCCCAAGAAGTCCTAACGGTCTTGTCACAGAACACCGCGGAAGTGCATTAAACCAGGAAGTTTGAAATATGTCCAAAGCTCGTTTCGAACCTTGATCTCTTGCTTATAAAGCAAGCGCTCTAACCACTGCGCCACGGCCACAGTGGTTAGTGCGTACATATATATATATATATATATATATATATATATATATATATATATATATATATATATATATATA